CTCATTTTGACTGGCTAATTGCTTCACAGCCAAATAGTTAATTAGTCCAACACTCAGATTATCACCTTAAGGATCAGTCAGGTACAAAAGTGAACCTATTAAAATTTCAAAATGTGTAAACCTGACACCGTGGCTCTGTTCCAACCCTTAGTGGGCTGCCTGCTGTCTGCAAAGACAGCTGCCTTCAAAGGCAGCATCCAAACTGGGTTTGGTAATGTTGCACATAGGCAGCAACTCACAAATAGCACTTCACTAAAGTGTTTGGCGTTAACATGCTGCAGTTTAACTAGCTTCAAAAGTATAGCAGACACAAATATTGTGTAAAAAAGTGCATTTTAATTAGATTTGACGTTTAGGTTTTCTAATTTTTCCCTGTTTTTAATTAAAAAAAAATTTATTAAAAAATCTGTAATAAAAATCTGTTTAATTGGCTAATTTGGGGGTCCATGGAAGCTTGTTTCTAACAGGGAATAAAAAAAACTGAGTTTAAATCTCACAAGAAAAAAGTCAGAATTAAGAGATATAAACTTAGAATTGTGAGGAAAAAAGTCAGAATTGCAAGATAAAAACTAAAGTCATAATTACCTTTTTTCTTTTTTTTTTTGGGTGTGCCAGAGTTCCACAGAGGTCAGTAAAAGTTGTTTTAAAGAAATTAATACTTTTATTCATTAAGTTGCATTAAGTTGTTCAAAAGTGACTGTGAAGTAATTTATATTGTTGCAAAAATTCTATTTCAAATAAATGTTGTTGTCCCCCCCCCCCCCTTTATTTATCTAAAAGTTTTATTAAAAATAAAAAAAAATGTTTCTTAAGCCCTAAATCAGCATGTTAGAATGATTTCTGAAGGATCATGTGACACTGAAGTTACATTTTAAAATATATTCAAATACAGAACACTTATTTTAAATGGAAATAATATTTCCGTTTTTACTGTATTTTTGATTAATTAAATGCAGCCTTGGTGAGCATGAAAGACTTCTTTCAGTAACATGGTTACTAAAAATCAATCAATGCATCACAGTGCATTATATCATTATCTTCTGAAGGTATCTTATCAGGCACCATCATTCCCTCTTAGAATTTGCACTAACTTGTGTTTTTTTCCAGGTCCATGGGGCAGATGTATGGGCAGCGAGTGCGGTCCAGGAGGCAGTCAGAGTCGGGCGGTGTGGTGTGCTCATGTGGAAGGCTGGACAACCCTTCACACCAACTGTCTTCAGTCCACGAGGCCGGCCAACCAACAGAGCTGCTTTCGCGTCTGCGATTGGCACAAGGACCTATACGACTGGCGGCTAGGCGAGTGGAACCAGTGTGTTCCCGTATCGCTGCAGACCAGCCGGACGGGCGTTTGCCTGCAGGGCGAAGAGGGCATCCAGATGCGGGAGGTGAACTGTGTGCTCAAGGCGGACAGCTCAGCTGCCGACGACGCCATCTGTGAGTACTTTGAGCCCAAACCCCGGCAGGAACAGGCCTGTTTAATTCCTTGCCCTCAAGACTGTGTGGTGACCGAGTTCACCCCATGGACCACGTGCTCCAAGACATGCGGGCTGGGCCTGCAGAACCGCGTCCGCTCCATCGTGGCACCGCCGCTTTTCAGCGGGCTTCCTTGCCCCAATCTGACGGAGTTCCAGACGTGTGCGCCGAGGGCCTGCGAGGGCAGAGAGACGGTGTTCAGTCTGAAAGTGGGCGGATGGAGCGAGTGCAAGCTGCCGTCTTTTCCGCCACCTCCGACCTCCTCTGCCGCCCCCTTGCGCACCGCCCGCCAGGCCCGCCAGGCCCGCCAGCGTAAAGGCAAAGAGAGGAAAGGGAACCGGGACCCGGAGATGCGCGAGCTTATTAAGAGCAAAAGGAACCGCAACAAGCTGAATCGACTAGAGGACGAGCTCTGGAATGTGGAAATAGGCTACCAGTCTCGGCAAGTGGTTTGTGTGCATCGAAACGGAAGCACGGTGTCACTCAGGTTAGTGACTTTTCCCATTAGAACCATAATAATTTGACATAAATAAAAATGAGGTTGTGAGGGGTGGAAGAATAGTCTGTTCAGTGTACTGTATTGTAAATAATTTTCACAAACTTTGTTTCTGGATTTTTGTAAAGTACATTGTTTTGTACGAGTTAAACAGTGAATGCAGTTAACATCACAGCTTTGTTCAAAAATACATTACAGTGCGATTCGAATGCATGTTTTTTATTTCAGAATTATTGATATTCATTTTTATATTTTCTGATATTCATTTTATATTTT